CAATGGACTCAAGTGTAACAACAATCATGAAAGTGGCACAAGACAGAGCGGTATTTTGTTCTGTTGTGCGTAAAGTCATGTTGAGTTGGAATTGACTCAACCACACCTAATAGCAACAACAACAACATATTCATTTGAAATGTGCTCACTTGACTTGAAGATGATATGATAAAAAAGAAAGAAGGAAAGATAAGACAGCAGATTACATGTAGCAGGTGACTGTTCCTTTTCTATAGAGAATAAAGGGATAAGACATGAGTGTAGATGGGAAATCATCTTCCTAAGGGTGTGTTAAATTTAGAACTTGACTGCCTTTTACACATCAAATTGCACATACACAGATGGACTAAGAAAGCACTATTGAAAACATCTAATGAAAAACACGGTACTTGGTTTATTGAGTCACATGTAATGTTTTTATATGCAGAACTTCCATTAAGTTCTCAACAAATACTTGCCACATTAATAATATATTACCATTACTCTTTGTTGAAAAATTCAATATCTTAAAAATTTTCTCTTATATGTAAAGGGAACAGATTAGAGCTTTCTTCAATATTTTTTTCTTAAGACAGATACAGTTATTGTATGAGGTGGAAGGTGATCCAGATATAAAACTTACACCTTGTCCAGACTTTATTTGCCAGAATTTACTGGCATGCAGACACAGTGGGTGTGAAATGTCTGTTTATTTTAGTGCTGGCTAACTAGCAATTAGAGTCTGAAGAAACCACTGAAAACAGGAGTATCTTAAAATTTGAAATGGGCTTCATTATTTGTATCTAAGCAATCTTTCATTCAAGCTAGAGTTTCAATCTACATCTACTTAGAAATATCCTATAACTTGATTGTTTCAGTGAAAGTCTTTAATAGTTTCTTCTGGTTCCAAACATTAAAGCATAAATAAATATCATTCTCTTCCTTTAGAAGGAGCAATCAGTTTACTTACCAGGATAGGAGGAGATGGTGTTGATGTGGGTTGTCCTGATGACGCCCACTCGGGTCCCTCGGTTGTTCTTCATGCACATGCAGATGCATATGGCGATTCCAGCAATGACTCCCATGATAAACACGATTCCAAACACGATGCCAGCAATGGCAGTACCCCTGAAGAGGAAAAAACAAAAGTGCTCTTATTGAAGGGGCTCATAAACATTCTTCATTATTATTCTTGACTACATGGCAAATGTTTCTTTAAAAATTTTTATTTTATTAAAATTTTTCATTTATATTTCTCCCTTCCCTCTCATCCCTGGTAACCATCACAGATTGTTTATTATAGCCTGAAAACCTTTTCTTGACTTTTCATAGTAGTGCTCTCATATAATATCTTTCCCTTTACTATCTATTAATTTCACTCAGCATAATGTTTTCCAGGTCTGTCCATGTTATGCTGTGTTTAACAGATACAGCTATTCTTTGATT